AAATAATAATAAATAATTATGATCTGAAGATCATGAAGATCGTATGTCCACAAAAAAAGTTATTTAACAATTAAGTTCTCATAGTAAGCCACCACTGTGTGTGTATGTGTTTGTCTATGTGTTTGTGTATGTGTGTGTGTATGTGTCTGTGTATGTTTCTGTGTATGTGTGTGCGTGTATGTATGCGTGTGTGTGTGTGTGTGCGTGCGTGTTTCTTGTGTAAGCAGAAAGACGCGAAAAATTATTGAAATAGCTCGAAGGGTTCAGGGGATCTCGTATTCGAGCAGTCTTGACTAGAACTTTCCTTGCCTAATATGCACATACCTATCTAGTATAAAATATGTATAAAAATATCTCCTAGTCTTAGTAAATCAGAGTATAATAGCTCTGTTAAAGACAGAACGATGTCCTGTCGATCCGTGCACTTATCTATTTGTTCGCAGTATGAATGCTTCAGAGCATTTAAGAGAATTTGTAAATTTTTATACCTTTAGCCCATTTTCAGTGGGAAATCAAGGTATAATGGTTTTGTTAAAAGCATGTAATAGACAGAAGGAGATGTTGCAGAACCCATAAAGTATCTTGACCAGGCCAAAGAGCTCAGTTAATTTAGCTCTGTCCGTGTGTCCGCCCGTTCGTCTGTCCGTATGTTTCAACTCGTCAATCTCAGAAGATTTAAGAGCTGGAGACTGAAATTTGTTTCCTATGTCCGTGTGTATCTCACGCATATCAACTAAAAAGTTGGGCAAAAATTAACTATAAAATTATATCTCCTACACCTTTAGAGCTAGAGTCGCCAACTTTTAAAGGTAAGTTCATAAAAGTTTATATACATACATATGTACCTTCAGCCCTTTAATTTGTAAAAGGCGTATTTGAAATACTAGGTAATTGTGCTTTGGCAACTGCACGCATATTAATATTATAATCACCATCTGAAGAGTGTCCATTTACAAGAAATGTTATGCATGAGCTATTGAAAAATCACTTACTCGAAGGGTTCAGGGGATCTCGTAGTCGAGCATTCTCAACTAGAGCTTTCTTACTGTTTTTTTTTTCCAAATGAATATTGCTATTTATATAATACATATTGTAACATTTTCGATTTTAATGACTTCAGTCTGCTTTCCTCGAATAGAGCTTTTTCATTTTTTTAGTGCATACAAAATTAGTAATCATTCCTTTTGTTTAATCCACAATTATTTATATCCTGTACGAACCTACCATATACAGCCTACCCATATAAACTGTGACGATGACCTGCTGTTCCACCACCTGTCGCAGTTTGGGAAAGCAATATCTTTGTTCATAGTTTCGGCTGAATAACAAACCCATAAATTTCAAGAGGAAACTGTTGTGTTTGATGGCAGCAGAGGTGTAAAGGTAATTAGGGATATTGCCTTTTAAAAGTAGGGGCACACGTTTCTTTACTTTTTACTTGCCGACAACACAGCGGCACGCCTATTTTTTCACTGAACCGCAAAAAATGTGTTAGAAGAGGCGATCCTCGGCAGGTATACATACATACATATGTGCAACAAACTCACAAAACTATTAATTTTTATCAATCAAATATGCATATGTATGTATGTACGTTCTTGTGGATATTTTTGTGTATGTATATACATACACACATATGTATATGTCTGACACAACGAAAGGACATACATACATACATACATATGTATGTATGTACATTGTACATTGACTATTCRAATAGCGCTGCCATAAATAATGCTATTTGGAGATATTAATTTTGTATGCACTATACATATATAGCCCGAACTTTTTCATATATTGCAAAGTGCAGTTCAATTCATACAATGTAGATAGAGCTTACTTATGTAAGTATATACAATACTGAACAAGTAAGCTCATGGCAGTAGAAAAAGCCATTACATATTTGTTTATACATACAATATAAGAAAGTCTTGGTCGAGAAATATTCGCTTCCAATAAATATTTGCTTCTTTTCTGCTTACACAAGAAACAGCCCATGAACTTCTACTCATTCTGCACTTCTTTTATGCACACATGCATACACACGCATCCACACGCACGTTTAATTACCCATTCTGCTGACTGCGCAGTGTGGACAATATTATGAGAATTTAATTGTTGAATAGTTTCTTTTGTAGATGGACAATCTTTATGAAACTTTCAGAGCGTGATCATATGGTGTGTAAAAATGTGTGTACATTCCAAAACACAAGTCTCTACCTCTTGAAATGCGTTTTTTACAAATTGGGGGGAAGGGAACGTGGTATCCAAAATCTGTAAATTACAAAATCTTCGTATCGATCAACTGTATATATACAGTAAATCTGAAGTCTCTAGGTGTAAAAGAGTTCAAATTAGGCTGGAAAAAAAAAAAAACAAAATCAAATTTTCGATTATTCTCGATAAAAAAGTTATCGGATGAGTCATCGAATAAATATGATAAACTTGTTGTGCGTATGGTACACACGAGTATGCATGCCAAATTTCAGCTCTATAGCTATAAAACTTCTGAGATCCCATTCCTTAACTAATGCAGCTTTGGGTCCGATTTGTTCAATATTTTATGTTTGCGAATGTTTATTTTTGATTACATTTATTTCTGGTGACTGGGCTGGTGGTTTCACAGCGTTGGGACATTTCCAGATCAACCAAGTCTGGACAATTCCCGCAGTGCGTTTCGGGTCATTATCTTGGTAAAATCTGAATTCCCCTTGATGCCCAGTTTCTGAACACTTTGAATTAAATTGGATCCATCGTAGTCTCTATAAACTCCAAGTTCCTAACGCCGGCTGCTGACATACAGGCCCAAGCCTGTACCTTAGACATGTTTTACTATAGCCCTAAACTTTTTTGCGTCAAGCTCTGTATTAGGCTTACGCCAACAATATGAGGGCCCTTTTGAGCCAAATATATTCAATTTGGACTCATCGTAAACTATGACAGTGTTCCAGAATCCAATATCCTTGTACAAGTGCTCCTTGGCAAATTATTGTCGACACTTCTTTATTTTGTGGCTTATAAAAGGCTTCTTGCGTGGAACTCTGTCATTAAAGTCATGTTCCCGAAGCACATGGCGAATAGTTTCTGGGTGGCACGACTTGCCAATTCCTCCTTGGGTAGTCTCGGATTTTTCTCACAATATAGCCCTCGCCCGTGGGATTCAAAATTTGTTTCGGAGCATTTGTACCTTTATTGTGGGTTCTACTTTCACGGAAAAAGCTCTCCAAATTCAACACAAATTTATATCATCACATTGCGAWACCATGGAATAAAGCATATAACATGGAATAAAGCATGGAAAAAGCATATAATCAGCTGCAAAGTTTGTGGTTGAAATAGGCTGTGTAACTGTTTTGGTCTCATTTTTTATACCCTGAACCCATTTTCAATGGGAAATCAGGGTA